TTAACAAATTATCATTAGAAACTAAAATATAATGCCAGTAAAATAAAAATCTTCTCTAGAACTGGCAAATTTATTGGAACTTTTAGGACCGTTTAGGACCGTTTAACATCCCTAGTCATATGTATGAAAATTGAAAACCGAATAAACATTGATTTCCCATAAGGGTCATTTTTCTGAATTCAGTGAAATATTCATACTTAATTTTGCCTAAAATATATATTTGATTTCACCTAACCATTCGTATGGGATATCGTTCTGTTGTCATCTTATGCAAATTATACTGTATATTCCTCGATTACTACAATAAACCTGATCTAATAAAGGTTTTATTTTTGATACATTAAATATACCATTTGATATGTTTTATTTATACAAAAACTCTTTGCAATAGTAAATTTATCGTTTCAAATTTTTTTTTTTTGCAAAAAAATTAATTAATTAAATACATCTATTTTAAAAATTCAAGAAAAGCTGGCACGTTACAATTAAAGTATTAGATGATTTAGTTCATTTTTCAATCCAAATGGTGCAAAATCTGTAATTCTATAAAATTTTTGTACTATAATTATTTTATGAGTTCTATATAATAAAAGGACTTTCAAAAATAAATTTCAATAAAAATAAATAAATCTGAAAATGAAATGAATGATAATGAAAAATATATTAACCTTAAAACCAATCTAACTAAAGCTGAATAAAATGGATTTTTTGTTATTCCTTAAAATTAGTCATATGACTTATTTTATAGTCACGAGTTGCATTAAAATAATCGCTATAAATTCGACAATGATTATTTTTGTATATTTTTGAATGAATTCATTATTTAAATAAAACCTTTTATAATTACCATGTCGAAAAGAAATGCTGGTACATAAGCATAAAAAACAATTTGTTTTATTCTTGAATATGGAGTTGGATAATTAAAATTTTTTTGTTAAATTTAGTTGGAATCGATTTGGGATCGACATATTCCTGCGTAGGAATTTGGAAAAACGATCGAGTTGAAATTATTGCCAATGATCAGGGTCATCGTACGACGCCTTCGTATGTCACTTTCACCGAAGCAGAACGTCTTATCGGTGATGCTGCCAAAAATCAAGTTAATACGAACCCTTATAATACTGTATTTAATGCAAAACGTTGTTAGCTTAAACGGTTCGTCGTTAAGTTAACTAAGATTATTTGCTAACAGGGAGTTTAAGTTCGTCTAAA